AAGAAATTTTAACTAGAAAGCATGGGATTTTTGATTCTTTTACTTTTTGTTAATTAATTAATAATTATTTTGTCCCTTATTAAAAATTATTTATCAATTTATTTCTCTTTAATCGATTAACTTGAATATTTAATAGATTAAATGATCAAAACTGAAAAAAATGATTGACTTGAAGATATAATCGATTAAATCTCCTTAGTTAATCGATTAAATCTCCCAGGTGGATAATTAACTGTAACTGAAGACGATCTTTGAACTGACAGTTTCCTTTTTTTTAAAACTCTAACGCACTTGTTATCAAAAAAAAAAAAAAAAAAACTCTAACGCACTCTGTAAGCAGTGAGGAGACCTACTTCGCTCAAAATAAGAGGTTCAAAACTACAAATCACAATAGGAGTATAGTTACTCACAAGACTAAAAGCAACACGTTTACCAAAAAAAAAAAAAAAAAAAAGCAACACGAATGGATCATTATAGAATTAGAAAGGCTGAAATCCCTAACCCTGACTTCTTTGATTTTTTTCTTCCTTGAACCGGTAGGCTTCATTTCATCTTTCTCCTCGTTAGTGTACAAACGAGTATTCAATTCGCAGATTTAACTGAAAATTAAAAATGGTCGTTGACCCCTACCACGAAAATTGAAAATGGTCGCAGATTTAATTCGCAGATTTCATCCTTCATCCCTAACACGAATGGACTATGGTCGTTGACTCCAAAAATTGAAAATTAAAACATAAGAAACGGAAAAGGGGAAAACGAGTATTCAATTTGTACAAATCAGTATTCAATTGGCAGATTTAATCGATTAAGAGGGAGATTTAATCGATTAAATCTTCAAGTCAACTATTTTTTTCAATTTTGACCATTAAATCGATTAAATATTCAAGTTAATCGATTAAAGAGAGACAGATTGGTAGATAGTTTTCAATAAAGAGCAAAATAGTTATTAATTAATTAATGAGAAACAAAAGAGTCAAAAAGTCAGAAATGATGACTTCCTTGATACTTTTGAAAGCTGAATCCATTATTTTCATACCTTATTAGCCAAATGTTATTACTAGAGAGGAGAAAAATTAAGAGTTTCTTTTTGCTGGATTGTGAACATTTAGTCGGGAATATAAGGAAATGAGATTATAAACGAGGGTAAAACATTTGATTCCTTTGAAAACAAGGGAGAATTATTATATGCTCCTGAAATGAAAGATTTATCTTGCTTTTCGTTGATTGTGTATCCAATTGAAGCTGAGAGAATTTCAAAGTGTATATTACTAAAATAAAAAATATTTATAATTAAAATCAATTCCTATTTTATCACTATCTAGATAAAAGATTTGATCCATAAATAAGATAAACTTCTAATATATTTGATTCCAAACAAACTCCCAAAACAAAAGATAGAAATTCGGGATGTTGAAAACACTAATGTGTGTAAAAGCCATATAGTTTTGTTGCCAGCAGCTAATTAGAAAGATGTACTTACGTGACTGGAAATAATATTTATCTCAGTCCAAAACTAAGTTGAGATATATAGTCCCACATTAATTGTGTGGGTAACTAATGTGGCCTTTATAAGGCCTTAGACACTCCCACCCTTTGAGCTAGCTTTTGGGGTGGTGACTTCAAGGTTCTTAACATGATATAGAGCGTTCGAAATCTCACCGCCTCTCACATTCTTTGTAGTAGAATTTCCACATGTAGGTGGGCTTGTATGTTGTCTACCCTTCAAGCCCAATGAGCTCTCGTGTGAGGGGGCATGTTGAGAAATATAGTCTCACATTAGTTGTACGAGCAACTAAACTAATGTGATGTTTATAAAGCCTTGGACACTCTCATCCTTAGAGCTAGTTTTTGGGGTGGTGACCTCAAGGTTCTTAACAAAAACGCGAATAAGAATATAGGACTTGGGGTAAGTTGATTGCAATTTTGAACAAGTTCCTTCTATAAAGTAACTGGAAAAAATTTCGGTTTCACTCCGCCATTAACAGGTTTGTACTATTAGCTTAGCGAGGAGGGTATAAAATCATGGATATGAGCGCTTTGATCATCGTAGGCATAATCCTATGCTTTGTCTACATTGCAATAGGCTTTGAAATAGTACCTTCTATTCACCTCTCTATGTCCGTGTGATATGATACACGGACACTGACACGAGACACGATACGACAAGCCGACACGTTAATTTTAAAAAATGTCATATTTTGACAGGTTGGGACACGTTTTGATATTAAATAATAATTTTAATATATATAATATAATTTATATTTAATAGATATAACAGTCCATAATAAGTCATATAACCAATCAAATATTCAAATTTCATAACATAAATATAAACAAAAATAATTTTTCGTACTATGTTAATTTTTCATGTCAAATTTTATAACAGAAAAAAAAATTGATTTATAAATGATTTTTTATTTTTAGTTAATAAAATAAAATTAAAACTAATAAAAAAAATGTGTCCGAGCGTTGACCACGTGTCGAAAAATGTTGATTGCGTGAAAAAAAACGTGTCGGAGCGTGTCAAAGAGTTGACCACGTGTCCCAAAATATTGACCGCGTGTCGGTCACGTGTCGGAGCGTGTCCGATATTGACCGCGTGTTGGACACGTGTCGGAGCGTGTCCGTGTCGGACACGTGTCTGACATGCACAATTCACAAAAAAGAACGAGTCTGTGTTTCAGAGTCTGTATGTTTCACTTCATAAAATTATGGGTTTTTTAAACGTTATGTTGTAGGAAAACTGATTGTGTCATGTTATAGAGATTCGTTTTTCGTATTTTAATTTTTTTTTTTGCTTCAAAAAATGCGGACTCCACAAAATATTGTGTGTGTAGGAAAAATGATTGTATCATGTTGCATGATGAATATAAACACCTAAAATTATACATACAATCAACTTGAACCAGTATAACGTTCACAAAATTTTAGTTTGGTATTTTGAAAGAGTCCTCTTATCATTTTTTTTTTGTATATATATTGGAATAGCCTCGGCATGCTATGGATACAAGAAAAGGCCCAATGAGGCAAAAAATTATGGAATAATAAAACAACTTGTGTAAAAATACGTGATGTCCAAGGCATTGGTGTCTCGAACGGTGCTGTAGGACAAACCTGATACCATGACTGCAGTGTTTTAGTAAGAAATAGAATCGTTCATTACTGTCCACGTTGGCATCGAGGAGTAATCAACCTTCCTCGAGACTTTTGCAACTATTGCTGCGTAATCAAGATTAACTAACTATCACAAGTTTCTTTTGCAATATAAAAAGCAACTCAAGAAATATTATAAATCTCTAAATTTTTTGTTATCCATTAAATATTTTTATTGTGCGCAAAACATTATATAAGAGAAAGAGAATTATAATAAATTTTATTTTGTTTTATCCATAAATACTATAAAATAGTTTTAATATTGTACATTCATAATCAAATGCCTCTATGAATCAATCACTTGCACTGTTCTATTTTGTTTGTGATATCTCAATATATAAGATGCACGACTAGGTCTATAAGAAGATATACCAAGTATCTGAAGCATCTCACATAATCACAATCTCATCCAAGATCACGCTAATGTTTTCCCAACCAACCAAAAATCCAACGTTTTCCTGGCCCCTGATAATGCCACGAATTTAATTGTAACCTCTCAAACATCAAATATATACGACTGAGGACAATTTTATCTTTTTGTGAACACCACAACCCATTTGTGACACGGCAATTGCTAGTCCATTCCAACTTATTGCCACCATCCCGCTTGTGCTCGTTGCATTCATTAACCAATGTCTCCCTTGTTTGCACGTTTGTCGTTGCGGATAAAGCAATTGTAGTTGCACATAATAATAATAAGACTAAAATTACCAAATAATTGTAGCTCATTTGGCGGCTAGGGAACTGAACATGTGAGGGTAAGAATATGTTTTCGATCATCTCAGTATCTTTTTTGGAGAAATTTAAAGTTTTAATCCTGAAATTTACCTCGAATCGGACTAGTCGCGAAGCGATAAACCGATTAAAATATTTCAAAAAAAAAAAAAATCAGACTAAAATTGAACTCATGCAAAAACAGTACAATAATATGGGTTATTGACTCTTTGGAAAGCCCAAACATGGATAAGAATTGAAAGAGAGAAACAAGTTATAAAATGTTCAAAAGACCCGGTTACACTTATATTAGGATGTTGTCATGTGGTTTTCTTTTCTTCTCTCTCGCATCTGTGTTGATATTATTATTTATTAAAGAGGATGGTACGTGAAGAAAAGAGTTAGGTGCACAAATTACAGCAGACAGGGGCATCCAACCGTTCCCGTGACCTTATTAACATCACAATCAATGTATTAGCCCAGTCACTGCCTCTTTTCCAAGCTTTTGAATATTGCTTACTATTAAATGCATGCATCCACGAGACCCTTGCCTGGCAATTTCTGCTAAGATTTCCAAGTCAAGAACACTGATTCAAAGGGAAAGACCAGGCTGGCGAGAAGCATTTGAATTTGAATTTCGAATTCGAATTTCATTTCAACCATTATAAAGCTTGAGGCATAGCATTAAATACAGGACCCAAACCTCTGCTCAGTTCTCAGCTTTTCCATAAAGATACATTCATGGCTTTCTTTAAGTTCACATTTTCTTCTGAAGAGTGTCCTCTGCCATAGGTGGAGCAGAGTTTACTATTTAGTAACTAATTTCAGGCAAATATTTTTCTTATGTCGATGTAGACGAGTTATCTTATGTTAGTGAAACAAAATAATAAGAGGGACCCACAAATGATTGGAGAGAAAAATAAAAATAAAAGTGAAACTCACCTTTGTTATGTGTGTGTAGAAAGATATATTATCTCGTGTTGAATGAGATAAATATAACCTCTAATTCAAATATTCAATACTTGAAATTTTCTTGAGATGACTCAAAATGGTTAGTGTCCTGAGACCAGAATTCAACACCCAATGCAGTGCTTATACTGTTATACATCCAAGAGGAATTTTAGTTTGAAGGATTTGTCATAACTAACTGCTGGTAATAAGATTGTGAGAACCAGAGAAAATTTACAAACATGACAAGATCGTATATTATAGATGTTTTAGAATTTTATGTGACCATTGAACAGGAAAATCAGCAAAGAGGAAAAACAAAAGAACCTCTCTTACATTTTCAATGGAACAGCAATAGACTTTATGGAGAAATACTGTATTCAGATCCGACAACTCATTTCACTTTTCCCTTTTTCTTGCATCTTTCTACCACTAATATTCTTCTTTAACAAATCTAGATTGCAGAATCAAAAGATCGGAGAAAAAATGGTTCCAAAAAAACAAAAAAAATTGAGATAAAGAACGAGAGAAACTAGAGATTGGAATCAGAGGACAAGTGAACAACCTTATTCTGTCTTCCCGTGAGCCAAAGCAAAGTTCTCCTAGCAAAAGAAGGTGCTCTAGCTTGAGAATCCATACTATAACAGCTTTGGTTTTCCTCATCATAGCCGAACTCACTTCCTCCTCCATTTTCCCATTTCCCAATATCCATCTCAGAAATAGAACTCCTTGTGTCAAACTTGCCATTCTTGACCTTCCAATCATCCGAAGCACTAGCATTAACAACAACGTTGCGCTGTGCTGGGAACCGAAACGAGAAAGCCCTTCTAGAAGAATCTGCCACTGCATTTGGCTGATCCTTCTTCCCCCTCAGCCAAATCTTTGATATAGAAAAACTCTCCTTTATGCCTCTTCCAATAGCAGCCCCGCCACTGCCATTACAAGTACTTGTAGCCCCATTAACATCCTCAACTCTAGTTGCATCAAAGTCTGTGAATTTGTAATCCCTTCTGGATTCAAAGTCACATTCTGACATTGCAGGTCTGTGTCCCGGTGTCAAAGGCAAAACAGACTTTTTCTTACTTGACTGCTTCTTTATTGGGGTTCTTATAGGTACCTGTAGTGAAGAACTCTCATCCATAACATAAGCAAAGGACCCCATAGAAAAGCACCTTCTAGAATCTACATTGTTGGTGCTACTTCCTTCTCCTCCTTCTCCGCCGCCACCATCCACGTTCCTGAACTTTCCAAGCTTAACAATGACCACCTTTTCCACAGCATCCCCTGCTACGGTTGGATCAAGATTTTCACTTGAAGCTAAATCACCCGATTTGGTTTGTAGTTCAATACGGGTGGATCCACCACATTCACTGTCTCCACGGCAACCGAGACGAGAATTTGTTGTTAAAACCGAACTAGTTCTTCCAACAGCAGCAGCAGCATCTCTTTCTGGAACAATCTCCCTCGAGCTCTCACTCCCAGACTCGAGAACAAGAACAATGGGAGAACAAGTATTGTTTGAAGAGAAGTCAGGGAGCAAGCTAGCTCTACAAAGAGGACAAGTGGAATGAGACAAGAGCCAGGTGTCAATACACTCCATGTGAAAAGCATGGCTACATTTTGGCAACAACCTGAGCTTGTCGTCTGGTTCAAATTCACACAAACAAACAGCACAATCAAATGGGTTCTTTAATCCTATGATGGCTTTGTAAAGGAAGACAGGGAGGGTATCAATGAAGGACTGGTCAACCCCAGCATCATGGAGGTGAAAGAGTTGTTGCAATTGCCCTTGAAGAGCAGTGACACTATCCAAATCATCAGGGTCTCTACTTTGAGGTCTCCACAGAAATCTCACCAGGAGGTGAAGCAAACCAGAAATGAAGAAAACAATAGCCAGAATTATGATGATGAGAAGTATGCTTGGACTTACCTTTAAGGCCTTGTCATTCCAACTGAAACTATCAGATCGAACAGTGTTAGGGAAAGGTGGGTTTGGCTGAGAAAGAAAATATGGTGGCTGTTCTGCTGGAGGCAGAAAGGTATCTCCGTTCCAATATAGAAAACTCTTGCCCATTTTGTAGAGTCAGAGAGAACTCAACAAAGATTGCAACTTTTTTCAAGTGCAACTAGGATCACAGAGTTTGAAGATACCATCTGGTGCCATAGACCATGCGGAGAACTGAGATACTGTTTTTTTTTTTTTTTTTTCCGGTTGGATGCAAAAAGTGACTTTGCAAGCCACGATATATGCAGCGTTTTTTATGGAGACAATTGTTTAACTCAATTTTGTTTTTTTAATTTAGATTTTGAACCTTCAGGTAAAAAAAAAACAAAAAAACAAAAAAACAAAAAAGAGTTTCTTAAGAATAAGAATAATAATGATTTGCAAGCAGCGAAATGTGTAACTGCAAAATTGAATGAGATTAGGTTAGGTTAGGCAAATGATCATCCTGCCTTCCTGCACAATTAGTGAATTCTTAATTGACCGTTATACAGTTACTTTAGTAGTTTTCAAATTAGTGAATTTGTAAACTAATTATAAAAATTAGTAATTAATAATATAAAATTAGCAAAACGTTGTGATTACTATGGAGTAATTACCCTGCCCCGTGAACCAATATTTAATGAGTATGATTCTCCCAAACGCTAGTCCTGCGGACCTGCTAGTTGACTTCTTTAAGGAACCTTCACCCCTGCATCAACCCCAATGTCCAATTAATGTTCCCCAATCAGGATATTACTAATTAATTGATAAATGTCAGAAGAAAATAATACTCCTATGGATTTGCTTTGATTTGGAAATGTGAACCTTCTTGATATTTTTTATTTATTTGTTTTTTCACTCTGATCACATTCTTTTTCAGTTCTTCTATTCCGTTCCAATCTGAATTGTTAAGGTCTGGTCCCAGAGCTCAATAAAACGAAACATATAGGTGGAAAAGTCACAAAGTCTATATAACTAGAGAGAGGCACGAGACATCTGAAAAGAATTTGAGGATACTGTAAACTAAATAAACAAAATTAATAGATAAAGGAAAACTGTCTGGAATCCACAGAATGGGGATGTGCCCTCTTTTTTTATTTTATGTTTTCAACTTGTCTTTTATGAGGGAATTCTGGTACCTAATTTCCGTGCTGCATAAAGTGGAGCCTGTTATTCAACCAAACACCCATCTAAAAAAAAGAAAGGGTATCCCTTGCATTTGGACAAAAAAATGGATGAAATGTAATTTTCTTTTAATAATTTTTGTATTTTCTTGTAATTTTCAATTTTTATTTCTTTAATTATTCCATTATTTTGCTAACTATTTGATGACCAAATTCTAAATAAAGGAAAAGAAATGTCATATATAGTTAATTTCTATTCACTTTACTATAGTAAACATATTGAAACATGGATTCAAAATGTCGTACATCGATTCTTTAAACTAATTTGAGATGGTCCTTCTAGGGATGATGCATGGATATTTGTTAGATCTGGGCAGCGTGTGGTTCTATAATTGCTTGAGGTTGTGGGTGAAGGAAAATGAAGGTTCTTATCACATTTAAGGAATGAAGACAGCAAAGTGGCAGAAGCATTTAAGTTCAATTGACTCTTGGGTCAGGAGTTAGCTAGGCTTGGCGTCAATGTTCATGGTCCCGAGTTTATTGTGGTTTTGGAATCCCCTTCCTTGATAAAACGTACACATATCACCAAGGTGAAAAGATCATAACTGGACATATCAAGCAAAGTGAAGTTGATAAATGTCCTATATCTTGATCTTGATGCCGTTTACATAACATAACATGAAATTGCACTAAACAATCCTTTTAGTTGACGTGTACTGTATAATGCCAAATAGATGCTGTTGGTAGTGACAAAAGCACCTTTAACAAGAACTAATTCTAGTAATTTCAACTTTGTCTTAATAGTAGCTCAAGTAGCTAGCTACTATCAAGATTTAAAATATAGCTTAAGTTGCTGTCAAAGATTAAAATAAAAATATTCAAAATCTTTTCTTCATTAATTGCTAATATTAACTTAAGACGAATTTTTTTTTAACGTTTTCCTGACAATAAAAGATTTTAAAAAAAAAAACAAGAAGAAAAAGAGTCACTGACGCTATGTACGAGGAAGGAAAGAGAATAGTGTAAGTTGAGAGGACTGAGGAGTACTGATGATCCTGTTCAATTTTTTTTTAATTTTTTTTATTACTACTCGTGCGTCTCACAAATTATTTAAATTTAATACTTATGATTATAATTATTTTATTTAATATATAAATATATATAGCATAATTTAAGTTAGTTAATTTTATCAATTGATCAATATATATAAATCAAATAAATTATAAATACGATAAATATTATTTTCTCTAGAGCTTATGGGATTAAAAATAAAAGATAATGTAATTTATAAATAAGTAAAAGAACAATACTTAAGAGATTATTTTACTGATGTATTTATTTTTCATTATTTAACTTTAATATATGAAATAAAATGCGTATTTTTTAATTTTGTAAAAATTAATAAACTTTTATTGTTTAATAACAATTTTTTTTTTTAAAATGAAAGGTTAAAAAAATAAAAAGTCAATAAGATATAAAGGAAGATGAAAAGTCATAAAAACAAAACAAAATTATTTAATTAAAATTTGAAAATTGATTAATAAAAAGTTCTATATAACAATTTTAGTGGAGGAACTTCAATATGTATTATAGATTATATTTTATAGAAGGATAAAGTATGGACGATGGTAGATAAATTATAGATAACAACTTTGCCGGTAATTTAAAAAAAAAAAAAACGTTAAGCTTGACCTATTAGGCAAAGCATTCTGCTTCAAGGAAAACTCTCTGACTTGCTCCTTAAACAAAGTATAGTTCTATTTGTTAGGAATCCAAATATGAGTAATAAAGTTTATATGATTGAAAATAGATTAAGTGCTATTGATTATAATCCTAATGATTAAAGTTTTTAGTTAAGATGTAATAGAATCATATAAGTGAAATGACCATAAATTTAACATCTTAAAATTTTGAGTTGGGACAGTAAACAATGTAGGGTTTTTACATTTTAAGCTAGATGTGCCCTTGTGTACTGTAGAAAGTATATATAGAATTACTCGCTCGAAAATTTTTTTTTAAAGTATATATAGATGTGCCCTTGTGTACTGTAGAAAGTATATGTAGAAAGTAGATTTCACTTGGGTCTCAGTGTTCAAACTAACAATCTTAGCGAAATGTCATAATATAATCAAACGGCACGAAAGATATTTTCTTAATGTCACCGATCGACTAATTGTGTCAACACATTTGGTTATGTTCAGTTAACTACGAATTTTATGCTACAAATGTTATGTTCGCACGTGAAATAATATCAGTGGCCGTTTGTGATTTTTGTTTTGAATTTCAAGTGTTGAATTAACTATATGATGTTCAATATATACGTTATGCAACAATAATATTTTTGGCTAAAATTTTTGAAAAAGTTTTGCCTTCGGATATGTCGGCGGCACCATACTAAAAGATCAAAGTTACTACCAAAAAAAAGAAAAAAAGGATCAAAGTCAAGTATCGTAGGTCGTAAGAGATGAAAATCTTTCAAAAGCGTTGAAGAAAAAGGTTTGCAATATCTGGATTGGAGCGAGTGATGAAAGATCCTTGAACTAACTAATCCAGTCAAGCTTGCTCCTAATTATTAACAACTTCTTTGTCCCATATGTGTTTTTGTCAAATGTTAGAAAGTTGCCACAATAACTTAAGGAAATCCAAAATGTCAAAAAGTTTTGACAACAAATGAAAACTAGCATGCACGAATGGAAGGTGGACAAAAAAAATAAATAAAATGCCGTGGTATGGACAAATAAAATAATGAGTATTTATAACTACAAATGGAGAGTGGCTTGGCAAATACAAGGGCACGAGAATGCTGATGCACATGTGCAGGGGGATTTATGTTTGTTATGCAACAAAAGATGTTTGTTTTTGTTTTGTTTTGAAGGTATGCTTCCAATATTGTGGTTGGGAATGGGATCTGATACCCCATAACAAAAGACAACAAGAAGCATCCAATACCAAGGGAAGTCAAACACTGATGTCACATCTTTTACAAAAGTCATAGAGATTTTTCTTTGCTTTGTAAGTTAAAGTCAACAAAATACTTTTTTTTTTGTACAATTAACAAAATACTTAATTAGTGAATCATTAGCTCATTTAGCTGTTTATGACTTTAAAAATTAATTTTGTAAAAGTATTTATTAATTTTCATTAAGTCATTTAATTACTTAAAAAATAAGTTAATAATTTTTTTAGAATAATTTAAGATATTAAATGCCTTCATTTTTTATTTAATATTTTTTATTTCTTAATTTACATGTATCCTGATAATATTATATGATAACAAAATTGCAAATATTATTTTATTTTCCTTGTCTTCAGCAAAGTTATTTTAATTTGAGAATTTAATCTGTTTAATGAATTACCCAATGCTTCTTAAGATTCAATAATAGAAAATGCTTTACTATGCAAGTTTATAAAAAAGAAAGAATCACTGAGATTGTTAAGTGCATTTGAGGTGGCTTACAGCTAAATTTGACAGACCTAGGTTACGAGAAAGAGGGGCACTGCATGCTGCATGGGTTATAAAATGGATTTATTTCGTCTAGTTGACCCGTTTAATTCGCTATATAGGATGGGTTAGGTTGAAATTTGTAATCTGTCTATTCATTTGAATTTGCCTAGCATAAAGGTAGGTTAACTCGTTGGATTGACTTTTTAAAAAAAATATATATATATTAGTGAATGATTTTTTTACACCTCTTTAATATTCATTTTATATTTATGGGGAATACAATTTTTGATTTTTTCTTCTTCATATTTTTAACATATAAATGGATTAATATGGCGAAACGGATTATTGTGACCTCTAAGGATAAGATTGATAGGAGAGAGTATTTCACTTTTCTAAATTGAAAGATTAATTATACAGTGTAAAGTATGAAGTTATAATTATTAATTGAAAATAAAAGGAGTAAAAATTAATATTTTTATAATTTATTATATACATTTTACTATGATTTTAATAATTAATTTTTATCCAATAATTATAATTATGATTTTCAATTTTAAAATGCAACTCACATTTTATAAGAATCAAATTCTGATATAAATTTTCGGTAATCCATTTGATGAATGAGCAATATTCGAACTCATGAAACTTTGAAT